TACTGACAGTAGTAGCCGTGGTCGTGGCCGTGGTAGTCGTAGTAGTAGCAGTAGTAGTAGTAGTTGTTGTTGTTGTCGTCGCCGCTGTCGTATTCGTAGTAGTGGTCGTAGTGGTCGGAGTAATGGTCGTCGTAGTAGTGGTCATAGTGGTCGTAGTGGTCGTAATGGTCGTAATGGTCGTCGTCGTAGTAGTAGTGATCGTAGTAGTAGTAGTGGTCGTAGTGGTCGTAATGGTCGTCGTAGTAGTCGTAGTAGTGGTCGTCGTATTATGGTCGTAGTAGTAGTCGTAGTAGTGGTCGTCGTAGTAATGGTCGTCGTAGTAGCAGTAGTGGTCGTAGTAGTCGTAATGGTCGTCGTAGTAGTCGTAGTAGTGGTCAGCACTGTTGTAGTACTACTAGTCGTCGTCGTAGTCGTAGCCGTAGTAGTAGTAGTTGTCGTAGTTGTTGTCGCAGTAGCTGTAGTAGTAGTGATAGCCGTAGTAGTAGTCGATGTAGTAGTGGTCGCAGTCGTAGTTGTAGTAGTCGTAGTAGTAGTAGTAGTAGTTAGTAGTAGTAGTAGTAGTAGTAGTAGTAGTAGTAGTAGTAGTAGTAGTAGTAGTAGTAGTAGTAGTAGTAGTAGTAGTAGTAGTAATAGTAGTACTAGTAGAAGTAGTAGTAGTAGTAGTAGTAGAGTAGTAGTAGTAGTAGTAGTAGTAGTAGTGGTAGTAGTAGTAGTTGTAGTAGTAGTAGTAGTAGTAGTAGTAGTAGTAGTAGTAGTAGTAGTAGTAGTAGTAGTAATAGTGGTAGAGGTAGTGGTAGTGGAGGTAGTAGTAGTATCAGCAGGGTCAGTAGGAATTGTATTTGTAGCATTCGTAGCTGTAGAGGCGTAGCCGTAGTAGTAGTCGCAGTAGTAGTAGTAGTAGTAGTAGTAGTAGTCGTGGCAGTAGTTGTCGTCGTAGGGTCAGGAGTAGAAGTCGGACTAGGGGTAGGAGTAGGAGTAGTTGTAGGAGTCGCAGTAGGAGTAGAAGTGGTAGAGGACGTAGTAGTAGTAGTAGTAGTAGTAGTAGTAGTAGTCGTAGCAGTAGCAGTAGTAGTAGTAGTAGTAGTAGTCGTCGTCGTCGCAGTAGTAGTAGTAGTAGTAGTAGTAGTAGTAGTAGTAGTAGCGGTAGTAGTAGTAGTAGTAGTAGTAGTAGTGGTAGTAGTAGTCGTAGTAGTAGTAGTAGTAGTCGTAGTAGTCGTAGTAGTAGTAGTAGCATTTGTCGTCGTAGTAGTCGTAGTAGTAGTCGTAGTCGTAATAGTGGTGGTTGTCGTAGTAGTAGTAGTAGTAGTAGTAGTAGTAGTAGTAGTAGTGGTAGTAGTAGTAGTAGTAGTAGTAGTAGTAGTCGTAGTCGTAGTCGTAGCCGTAGTCGTAGTCGAAGTCGTATTAGTGGTAGTCGTAGTCGTAGTCGTAGTCGAAGCCGTAATAGTAGTAGTAGTAGTAGTAGTAGTAGTAGTAGTAGTAGTAGTAGTAGTAGTAGTAGTAGTTGTAGTAGTAGTAGTAGTAGTAGTAGTAGTAGTAGTAGTAGTAGTAGTAGCAGTCGTAGCAGTAGTAGTAGCAGTAGTAGTAGTAGTAGTAGTAGTAGTGATATGTATTGCTGTTGTTGTTGCCGTAGTAGGAGAGGAGGCACGAAGAGGAGGATGCGGACGAGGACGAGGAGGACGAGGAACACACAGTATGATGAGGCGCAGCAAGACCAACCCGAGCAGAAGGAAGCAGGAGGTTGACTCCCAGGAGGTGGAGGAGAAGGAGGAGGAGGAAGCGCATGGTGACAGTCTAAGTAGCCTGGCCCAGTGAGTGAGATGATGACGCTTATTCCCACCCTCCATCAAAGAAGTTGTGGCACATCTTGGGGTTGGAAGGCTTGTCCAACGAGCAAGCGGAGGGTGCTCGCGCGCGGCCCCGCTTCCGACGACCTGGCGCGGGCCGCATAGGGGCGGAAGCGGGATGAGCAGGAGCACGACGCTTAGGAGGAAGCGATGGAGGAATTGGACAATGATGAAGATTAGCAATATGATGATGAGGATGATGGTGATGGTGATGGTGATGGTGATGGTGATGGTGATTGTGATGTTGATGATGATGATGATGATGATGATGATGATGATGATGATGATGATGATGATGATGATGATGATGATGATGATGATGCTGCTGCTGCTGCTGATGATGATGATGATGATGATGATGGTGGGGAGAAGGAGGAGAGGGACGGAGGAAATATGGGGAACGGGCAGCACATGAGGGGAAGGGATGAAAGATTGGTCAAATGAGGATCTGGGTTCCCTTCAGACACCAGGCCCTCGGCGCTGGTGGCCACCCCTGCTGAAACGATTACCAACGGATGGATTCGGCCAGGCGCCGATTTCAACAGCAGATGCCTACCTAGCATCAGAGTCATAGGTAGATATAGTGAATGTGCCCATTTTCCGTACAACGCCCACCACCAAAACACGGGCCGTTTTCAAGAGCTTCGTCGTCGGCCCCTCTCTGCAAAGCCCTGTCGGAGCCTGGAAGCCGGTCACCAAGTCAGAGCGAAAACCTTGCCGCAGAGGCCTGCGCGCAGACGAGGTGGAGGAGGCTGGCGCCGAGGAGGCATCGCTTAAAAAGGAGGAGGAGGAGGAGTAGGAGGCGCATGATAAGGATCAACATCGTGGGCGGAAGAGGACGAGGAGAACGATAGCAGGAGGAGGATATGTAAAAGGAGGAGGAGGACGAGACAGAAGAGGAGGAGGAGGAGGGAAGGAGGCCCGAGGAGGAGGGAGGGAAGGAGGGAGGGAAGGAGGGAGGAAGGGCGAGGAGGGGAGGGGAACCGGAGGAGGAGGCAAAGGGACAGGGCAATCGACAGAGGGAGGGGGCGGCCGGCGGCCCTCAGGCCAGCAGCGGCGGCGCGGCGGCGAGCGACCCGCTCGCGGTCGTCGTCGTGCTCCGGAAGGACCCTGCGGGTCTCAGGAGGGGAAAAACACACAGACACAATGAATCGTCGATTCCCCAGAACATATGGGAAAATATGGGAAGTGGGGGGGAAGACAGAAACCCAGAAAATATGGGAACATATGGGAAGTCCTGTTGTTTGTGTCTATTTATTTGCGTGTCCCTGGGCTCCTTTTGGGTCGTGGACGTCGGGGCCTCAGATCGGAAACTGGAGCACATACACTACCAGTGGCGGGCTGTTTTTGGACCCCAGGACTTTTGGAGGGTCGGGGACGACGTCGGGGTGGTGTGGTGTGTACGTGTTTCCCCGTTTTCCCGGGGGAACAGCGAAAATGTATACACCAGCATCCCGTATACACCAGGATCCGCTTTCCTGTGCGAGTTTCACCGCAGGGCCGGAAAAAGCGTCGGTGTATAGAGTTCGGTTCCCTATCAGAAGCTGGGACATCACAGACTAGTCATGGCGCCAACATCGCAGAGCGGACTTCGTTCGGAAAACCACTGGATGGGCCCGGAGTGTCCTGGAGGATGTCGTTCCCGATTTCGAGGTGAATTTCGTGCGGATTTTCTTGGCCAGGAATGAACAAACAAAAATCCACGTGAAATTCACTTCGTTTTTCACTCACCTCTTCGGGTTTTGTATTCACAGACATCCACGCAAAAATCCGCTGCAGCACGTCTGCAAGGTCGGTGCAGTGAAACCGGGGCCTTGAGCATTCCAGTTGTCGAAGAAGCGTCTGCACTCCTAGCCAACCTTCAGAACTAAGCGCGGATTCGTTGGATGAGGCGCTGGACCCCCCTTGGTGGCCCCAGAGATCGAAGAAGAAAGAACGGCACACGGGCAACATGTTGAAATGGGGACTACTTCGGGCTGTGGATCGTGTGCCATGCCTTCGACTTGAAGTCGGGGGACCCGTTCGTGGCCAAGGCTCGCCGTTGCCAGAAAGGCCGCTCCGGTCCTTACTCATCATTCCTGATGGCAGCGTGATGGTAAACATGCACTGCTGGAGCTTCGCGCCGATTCAAGAAGTCCGCGTGGAGCTCCGACAGATTATGTTCATGCTGAGATTTGTTCGTCCAGTAATATTGCAAGCCAGGAGCTTCAAGCTTCAAGTCAGAGGGAACGAAACATGGAGAATGGTTCGGCTCACGGCTGCAACTTGCTCGGGCGTGCCAATGTCTCGGTTTACCGATGTCTCCGCTTACGGGGCCCTGAGGACGTCGCAGTCGCCGTCGGTCGTCGCCGTTGTCGTCGTCGTGCAGTTAGGACGCTGACATAAGGAGCAATGCGGGTTCGGAAGGGGGCTCGCTGTTCCCCATGTCCTTCCGTGATTGTTCCTCCCAGGAGGGCGGAGGGAGGAGGGAGGAGGGAGGAGCGATGAGGGCGGAGGGAGGAAGGCGGAGGGAGGGGGGAAGAGGGAGGAGGGAGGACTGTAGCTTCCCTCGTCGTCGTCTTCGTCGTCACCGCGCGAGACAAGATGGGGAGTGCCAAGGGCGCCGGCGTCGTGAACGGTCTGCAGCGTCGGGGAGGGCCATGCCCAGAGCCCCTGATCCCAGCTCCGTGCCTCGTTCGCGAGGCCGGATCGAACCGTGACCGCCCCAATGTCCTGGCACGGTTCTCGGGGGTGACGTTGGGGGCGGATAGCCCAGGGGAGAGCAATACAGTGGGGGCCCATGCCAAGAAACACTCCCTGGGTTTCTTTGGTTTCGATGGTTCTGCCATGGAAAGCGTGACGTGCCCATGTCAAAAATCAATGGGCGTCCTGGGGTTCCAGGGTTGGGTTTCTCGTGGAAGGTTTCTTGTGGACTGGCCTCCACGGTACATGTATCCAGGGGCGCCGATGGCCCATGCCTTCGGCGAGGCTCCCAGAGGGATACGTGTAATGCCCCTAGGCTATTCGCCGCCATCGTCGGCGCTGGGGTTCACTGGTGTGTTTTGTTGCGTGGTGTTTTTTGTCTGTTGTTTGTTTGGCTGTTTCGTCCAAGGCGCCCATGTTAAGTCTTACGATCTGTTGTGACGCGCTGCTTGCTCTGTGAGAAGCAGTTGATGGATGCATGCCTCCGCCACTGGACCGCGCAAGGACCTCGACTGGCCCATAGGTGCTCTCATTAACCAGGCGTGCCACGCCTGCACGGCCATGGCGTGGGAGGCGCGCGGAGACGAGATGGCGGCCGCGTACCTCTCCGAGGAGGACATCCATATCGTCGCCGCCGCCGCCGTCGCCGTCGTCGTCGCCGTCGTCGTCGTCGTCGTCGCCGCCGTCGTCGTCGTCGTCGTCGTCGTCGTCGTCGTCGTCGTTGTCGTCGTCTGAATCGAGGATCGAGGTTTTCGGACGTTCCTGGCTTCGTTTTGGTCTCTGGAGGCTTTTTGGGACCTGCAGGGATCTCGTCGTCGTCCGTCGTTCGCTCAGGAAGCGGCCCAAACAAAAAGCACGAAGGGGCCCAAGATGTCGTCAAGATGCCCCCAGGAGGCCCCAGGATGGCCCAAGATGTTCCCAAGGCGGCTCCAAGTTAGGCCCACGAAACTGCCTCTCCTTTTCCTCTCATGTCCCCCCTGAGGATCTGGGGGTTGGGGGGGGGGCGCGTGGGGCGGGTGGGTATTTCGATCCAGTTTTTCTTTGAAGAAGGCTGGCGCGCACTTGGCAATTTTACGCTGCGGAGGTCGCGTTTCGGCCCCTGTCAATGTTGGCATCCTTTCTCTCAGAGTATTTCTCCAGCGGCTTCCGGAAACCTCACCATTGCTACGGCATAAAAAGGAGGTTGCCCACGATGGGGTCATGCTTCACTCCAACACTATTGCCGCGCTCTCTCTCGTGCACCGCGAGATGAGTTATACATCTATATATATAGATATGTATATTGAAAACGATCTGGACCTCGATCCGATCGATGGCCATCGCAGCCACGAAACCTACACCCTTCCGTCGCGCCTCGGTCTGATCGAGGTTCGATGATGGCGGCTTCTCATGCTGTTGCAGTCTTTGGGGGCCTCCAGCAGCCTCTGAAGACCTCCCCCCCTCGAGCCCCTTCGTTGCGAAGGGCAATCGAGAGGGCAGTCTTTTCTCTGGTGGCCTCTGGGGATTCAGTTTCGGGCCCCCAGACCGTGACACAAGTCCCTGACGTTTCGCGTGCACGCCGCGCCTTGAAAGTAGGCGTTTTCGGATTCCCAGGTCCCGATCTACTTCGGGCGCCTTCCTACTTCGATCATCGAGTGCTTTTTCCGTTTCCGCCCTCTTCAGGGGGCAAGCGGAAGCCCGATCTATTTCCAGCGCCTTCCTGCTTCATGTTTCCGCCCACTCCTTCTGACCGACGAGTATCCCTATCAGCTCATACAGAGAGGATGTCCAGGCGAGCTGCCTTGAACAGGGCAGGGGCAAACAGGGGATCAAACAGGAGGCAGCCGTCAAACCGAAGCTCGGGATGAGCCTGAGTGGACCCAGCAGCCATTCACGCATTCTGTTTTGGGGATTCTCCGACATGGGAGACCCGCGGCAGCTTACAGCCACGACGCTGAAGCAATGACCCGTTTGGACTCAACAGGGGCTGTGGCTGTCAGGCCGCTCCTGGGATTCTCAGGTCGGGGAGCCCATGTCCGTGGCCAGGGCCCGCCGTGGCCAGACAAGCCCGTTCGCTCCTCACTCGCTTGGGATCTCATCCTCCGCCCCATTCACCCCTCCCTCGCCCACCAAGCCACCCCAACCCAACCCGAAGGCCTCAATGTGCCCTCCATTTCCAGTTATGGGGGGGTCGGGGAACACTGACAAAAACACATATGGAACCCGCATCCCCCCCAACCCGAAATTGGGATCTTCGGGTTGGGTTGGGGTGGTCTGGTAGGTAGTCACCCCCTCCCTCGCCCCGGCTTCACCTCGCCATCCCCTCCGTTTCTCACCGGGCGCCTTCCACCGCTCGCAAACGCCAGAAACAAAAACACGTCTTCCTTTTTGGAATGGACCGTAGATTCTCCGCGGCGGATCCAGGCCATTTGCAAGTAACAACTTTGCGAGTAGTGGAACGCGCTCGTCCAACTTCGCAGATTAAGGTGGCCAGTCCTCGGTTTTTACGCCACGAGCGCACCAGCGAGAGGGCTCTCTTGAGACAGTTCCTCGGCCACTGGGGGTGTAGTTAGCGGCTTCGCCATGGTAGCTGCGTGCGTTCAGCATCGCCCCTTCTCCCCTTGCCCTTCCCCTCCTCTCTCCCCCCTCTCTCGCCCGTCCCCTCGCCTCACTCGGCGTCCTCTGTCTCCCTCCCCCTCTCCCTCTCCCTGCCTCTCTCATTCGCGCTCGCCTCTCGTTCCACTCGCTCCCTCCCCTCCCCCTTCCGCCCCCTTTCTCTCCCTTCCCTCCCCTTCCCGCCCCTCGCCTTCCCTCTCCTCTCCCTCCTCCCCACTCCCCTCCACTTCGCTCCACTCCGCTTCCTTCTGGTCCACCCACGCTCCCTACACCTCTCCGCTCCTTTCCCGTCCCCTTTCCTCCCGTTTCACCTCCGCCTCCCCCGTCTCCTCTCCCCCCGATCGGGCGAGTTGATGTCCGTTTCCGTCTGGCCCTTCGTTGCCCCTGGCGAGGAGGGGCAGATGATCAAGAACACCCTGGCTGCGAAGGGGGAGGCGGAGCTTCAGAAAGTGGCCGCGAGGCTGGACAAGGCGACGGCCCCCTGCAGGAGGAGCAGTCACAGAAGGGCGGGAGGAGGTGGGCACCAGGGGATGCCGCAGAAAGTCACCAAGGGGATCGGGATGGACGTGGCGGCGATTTCTGCGAAAATGTGTAGCAACGACCAGCAGCATTCGGACGTCTTGGGTCGGAGGAGGGAGAGAGCGACACAGGCACCACAGGTAGGGCCACCCCCTGGAGAGCAGGCCCCGGGACGCTTCCCCGAGCTGGGTATTGGAGGCGTCCCGAGCGGGACGCCGACCAAAACGGACGACACACCGCCACGAGAGCCTTCCCTTGCCACTTGACCATGGTGGTGGTGGTGTTGGCTTCCTTCTTGCTCTTACAGCAAACACATAGTTCAACGATTCAGCCTGTCAGCAGGTGCCCTGCAGAAGCTTGTTGCCCGCAAGTGGCCCTCGGTGCACACACAGAAGCCATAGGGCACCGTGTGAAACTCGAAGACAGACGACGAACGCGCCCCAGTGTTTTCCGGCTGCAGGATACTTTGAGCACTTTGAGTTCAGGAGGTAAAGCAGTCAGGATGAGCTTTGGCTTTCGGGCCGTTCCCCTTCAGACCTGGGTCGGGGAACCTAATTCGTGGCCGAGGCTTACCGTGACCAGGACATCCCCTTTCGTTTCTTACCCAGCGCTCCTCATAGGAGCGCGGGAGCAGTACAGACATGGCGCCGAAATGCGGTCCACTGTGTGCTCGGAAGAGGCTCGGTTGTTCCTTGGGTCTGCTTGCGTTCCCTTGTAACGTTGCCAGGGAGCCCTCTCGGCGTTCCCTCACTTTCAAAACTCGACTCAACGACGAGGGACCGCCTCCAAAAAGGGGCTCGGCCGTTCCTTACATGCATGACTTGTGTTTGGAAAAAGGGCTCGGTTCCTTACGTAACTTTCCTTCTTGCAGTACCATGACTGTACCGTATGTGAACTGAGCGTCTGCTGATCCCGCGTTCGGCGATCACAGATCGCAGTGATCAGGGGATTCTGTGATTGCCGATCACGCGATCGGTTCGGCTTGATCACGCGATCGTCCGAGCTTGACTGCGTGATCGATCCGTGATCGGCGGGGTAGTCATCGTGACTGGGGCTGCGGTCGAACCACGTGGTCGGGCGACGTGATCGGCAAAGTGATCATCCAGACACCGAGTATGTCCATGCTGTGCTGCGGATCCTCTCCTCCACCCCCCCCCGCCCCCGCGCGGGAGAGGCTGGAGTGCCCTACAAGCTGTGGGTGGAGCAGCCCGAGGCCGTCGCGCATCGGCGGTCGAAGCTTTGCAGTCTCAGAAGAGCCCCATCAGGGCTCGGCGACTCTCTTTCAACCGACTTGCAGAGACCCGGCCAGTTGAGTGGAGGGGAGTCGAGGCAATCTGGACAAATCGATGTCGATGCAGAGCAGTCGAAGTATATCCATGTATGACCAGGTCAGTGTTGAACACATCGTGGAAGCTCCAGCGCGAGTCGAGGGACAGCAGAAGTCGTGAAGCCTTTCACGACAGAGGAGCCGACACCGATAACTCTACGCGTCCCTCGTCGCCACGGCGAGAAGCGAGTCAAAATCATTGCCAGACCGCTCCCCACGAGAGGTCCTGAGTGTGGCGGTACCTTGTTTTTTCCCGCAGTCGGGTCTGATGGGTGGGTCGGCCGTGCAACATTGGAGCCAGCCCCATCGCGGCGCCAGCCCTCGCCGGGCTCCAGGACCGCCCAAGAACGGCTCGGGATGAAAAGCTGGTCCCAGGGAGATGGTCGAGACCTTCAGCGGCCCTGGGCCGCGACAGAAATTACGACGTCTGGGGTCTGAGTCCTGGGCCCAGGCATCGGGGTAGACGCCCTCCTGGCTTGGCCAGGGAGGCGTGTGGCATCGCTCCCGGGCCCAGGATCGGCTGGGCCCCCTCCTTGGCGATCGGAGCTCTGCGGTCGGGTCCGATCCGTCGTCTCCTCGTGTCTGGGGCGCGGGGCTGCTCTCGGCATGGACCTGCGTCCCCTCGGCTTCGCAGCCAAGGCGCTGCACGCTTCGGGCTCAGGATCGGCTCTGGTTTTCGAGCCGCTCCGTGCGTAAATCTGGGTCGGAGGACCCACTCGTGGCCGAGGCTCGCCGTGGTCAGAGAAGCCCCTTCCGTACCCTACGGTGGAGGCGTTTGTTAATGAATAGTCCCAGGAGGCGCCAGAACCTGGAGGATTCCTTATCTGATGAGGGCGGCGGTGATATCCATGGCCGATCCACGATTGGAGTTCCACTGGCTTCCAGACCCTGGATTCCTTATCTGAGGGTTCCTTTTCCAACGCCCACACCGCATTCAGCGTTCCGCCCTGTGGCAGCACGATGGCTGCACTCCAGGCTCCCTGTTGAGCGTGGGGGGTACAGCCTCGACGGTGGTCGACCTCGCCACGACGGCGCGCCCTCGCCCGCAGGTCTGGTGACCTGGGTTCGATGCCGATGTCCCCACGGTCCAGTTCGACCCGATCGACCCGATCGATCTTCTTCGACACCGATTCGGGCCGATCCGATCCGGCTCGCCTGCGGTAAGGCCGACGATCAATTTCGACCCGACCGACCCGATCCATGCGCCTCGACATCGATCCCAACAGGCCCGATGCCCGAACGGGTTCGATGCCGATGCTCCAGCGGTCCGATGCGGCCCGATGCCCGCAGGGCGCTGCTGTGCCTGAGGGCGCGGCCGGTGCGGCTCGATGCTGGCCGGCATCGCGCCGTCGCGGCGCGCACGCCGATGCGGTGTGGTTTCTCGCTGCGGTGCTGACTGGTGCTGTGCCCCCTGTGTTTCATCGAAGAAGAAAATGCGCCATGAACATAAACTTTTGGCGCTCCGCGCGGATTTCTTGGATCCGCGCTGGACCCCCCTCCCTGGCGAGCGGGGCGCCAACAGTTTTTGTTTATGGCGTTTTTTTAATTTGTATGTTTACCTATTTTAGACCCGCCGGCTCGCGGAGAGATCCCCGATCTGTCCGTGCAGTGGGTTTCGACGGTTTCGACGGTTCTGCTTAGAAAGCGTGACGTTCCCACACCAAAAATCAATGGACACAATGGGGTCTCAGGGCTGGGTTTCTTGTGGAAGGTTTCTTGTGGTCGAGCTCCTACTGTATATTAGGATGCACCTCCTGGGAGGTTAGGAATTCAGCGTCAGCGCTGGTACATCCTTGGTCGCGGTATTTGACCTAATACGGCACTATTTCATTGAGCACTGCTTCACCCCGCTGAATCCGTGGCTCAATCCTGTTTAATCCAGTTGAATGATTTCTCAATCTGGCTTAGTGGATTTAATCATGCTTACGAAGACCTCCCAGGAGATGCCTCCTAACGTATACAAGTTTGTCCTCGTCTGGTATTCGTCTTACTTGGGCGCTGCCGGCCCCAAGCCCTCTAGCACCAATCGGCTCGGTCCGGGAGAGAGGGAGGAGGATGAGGTGGAGGAGGAGGAGGAGGAGGAGCAGAAGGAGGAGGAGAAGGAGGAGGAGGAGGAGGAGGGAAGGAGGAGGAGGAGGAGGAGAAGGAGAAGGAAGATGAGGAGAAGGAGGAGGAGAAGGAGAAGGAAGATGAGGAGAAGGAGGAAGTGAAGGGAGGGAGGGAAGATGGAGGGAGCAGGAGTAGGAAGGAAGAAGAGGAGGGAGAGGAGGGAGGAGGAAGGAGGAGTAGGAGGAAACGGAGAAGAAAGATGAGGAGAAGGAGGAAGTGAAGGAAGGGAGGGATGATGGAGGGAGGGATGGAGGGAGCAGGAGTAGGAAGGAAGGAGAGGACGGAAAGGATGGAGGAGGAAGGATGATGATGAAGATGAAGATGAAGATGATGATGATGATGATGATGATGATGATGATGATGATGATGATGATGATGATGATGATGATGATGATGATGATGATGATGATGATGATGATGATGCTGCTGCTGCTGATGATGATGATGATGATGATGATGATGATGATGATGATGATGATGATGATGATGATGATGATGCTGATGATGATGATGATGATGATGATGATGATGATGCTGCTGCTGATGATGATGATGATGATGATGATGATGACTATGATGATGATAGCGATGATGGTGATGATGATGATGATGAGGAGGAGGAGGAGGAGGAGGAGCAGGGGTATGAAGAGGAGGGAGGGAAGGATGGAGAGCAGGGAGAAGAGGAGGGAGGGACGGGGGCTGCAGGGAGTGAGGAGGAGGGAGCACGAGGAGGAGTGAGGAGGAGGAGGAGGAGGAGGAGGAGGAGGAGGAGGAGGAGGAGGATAAGGAGGAAGGCCATTACCACATGGTCACCCTCAGCAAGGGTCGCCATACCCGTGCACCCACCACCTCCTATGCTCAACATTCCGATTTGTCTGCCCGCCCTACGTGGACGTTCTGACGCAGCGATGACTGCAAGTTGTACCGATGCACCGCCTCGCGCCACAGACATACGCCACCCTACGTACAGGTGTACTTCCCAATTCGAGTAAGACAGTGTTCCCCTATACATACCATCTCCGTACGTGCAATACAACGTGACCAACAGTCGTGGACGCATCTTTGTACACGCCACTGGGGACCCACGCTTTCACGAGTACATTGACAAAATACGATCACACCAAACACCATACGAGCAGTACTTCGCCAGCCTCCGCACGCGCAGCAGCCAACATGACGCACCCTTCAAGGAAGCACCACCATACAAGGCAACGCCACGACTATTCAAGGCACCACCGAAACTCATGCCAAAGGTTACCCACAACGACAACACCAGGCAAGCGTGGGCGACAAAACAAAACACAGCTAAACACAACCGCGGTAGTATACAGAGCAATGCCACGACGCCGGCCAAACGCACCATCTGTGTTTCGATTACCGAAGAACACAGACATCTAACCCTCCCTCCCTCTACTCCAGTCGGCAGGCCAAGGGGACATCGACAAAGTAAAACGTACTCCCATCTCCTGCTCAGGCTAACATCGGCAGAGGCACCATTCGAACCCACTCTCTTCAGCATACGCTTGCGTTGACAGCGGCTCTTTCCCTCCATCACTGTCTTTAAATCCCAGGCGACTGCCATTTCGGCACGGCGGAAGGGAGTGCCCTGACACTCCCACTGTGGGCTACCGACCACAGACAGCCTAGCACACAATACTCCCTCTCCTACCTGCATGCGTTAGTTCTTCTTCTTTCTCTGTCGCCTCCCACAAGGGTAGCAGCCCAAGAATTGCAATCCTATTGGCCAGTCGTTACAAGACGAGCCAGCCTGACGTAGCGCAGCCATCTACTTGTCTTTGCTCACAAGGGTAGCAGCCCAAGACTTGCATGCCCAGCAGCGCCACATCTTTGCTCACAAGGGTAGCAGCCCAAGGATTGCCGAACTGCACTGCCAGTCTTTATCTTTCAGTACGAGACCGCCAAGCTTTGCACAGCCAGGTTTCACATAATACTTGGGGAGGGCTGGAGCGGGCAGACTAGCGTTGGGTATCGGGAGGGCCTATGTCAGCCGCTGCATACAGTTTTCCAAACTGTTGACACAATGGGTCCGTAGTAAGCTCGAGAAGAATCTACAACACACACAGACACGAGGGCCCTAGGACCAAGGAGGTTAGGGGTTAACCTCAACAAGCCCTGGGCAGCAACCCGAGAACTGCCACATTTGCCTGTGTCGTTTGGCTTTTCAATGCCCGTTTTTTCTTTTTGTGCGCGCCTGCAGGGGCATGGCTACACGACGGTCGGGGTTACAACACGGGTTCACTAGCGGAGACATGTGGGTGGGAAACCACCTCCTTGCTTACAACGGTAGCAGCCCAAAGATTGCAGACGTTGCATGGTCACTTTTTTTTCAGTACAAGAGCGCCAAGCACAGCACAGCCTGCTCTCGCACATCGACCTCCTTCCCGTTTATTTCATAACCTCTTGCCCCCTCTCCCATAAGGGTAGCAGCCCAAGGATGGCAAGCCTACTGGCCAGCCGGTACAAAACGAGCCAGCCTGGCGTAGAGCAGCCATCCTACTGTCTTTTTTCTCGCATGTGTAGCAGCCCAAGGATTACATGCGCTGCATTGCCATTCTTTTTTTAAAATGTAATACTGGAAACAAAATACTACCACACCGTGCTCAAAAGGGTAGCAGCCCAAGCATTGCAGACGATGCGCTGCCACTCTTTCTTTTCTAGTACGAGGAAGGAGCACGAGAAGGAGGAGCAGGAAGAGGAGGAGGAGGACCAGTGTAACACCAAGACACATCAACGATGCTGCAACAAACCCTCCAAGTCCCCTCTTCGCGGGTCCGTACGCGAATGTATATTCAGTGTGGGAAGTGTTCCTTTGGAAGGCAATCGTCTGAGAATCCTCAGACGTGCCACGACAGCTTCCTTGGAAGACCAACGCCGCGAATCAGTGCGAGTGCTGCGTCCTGGCAACTCTACGTCGTGCCAGAACACTGTTCCTGGGACGCCAGACATACGAGTCCTTGAATCAGCTGCGAGCTTTTAAGATGGATGTGTGTGGCGCTGAGGCGAGAGCCACATTTCGACAACAAAACCGCCATCCATCCTTGAAGTTGTTGCCCCAGTTTGAGACGAACGCGCGCGGCGCGAAGGCGAGAGCCGCATTTTGAAATCGAACCGCCCTCCATCCTTGAAGCATTTACGTTTTTAAAGCGTAAGACGAACGGGTCCGGCGCTAAAACGAAAGCCACAACTTGAAAACGAACCGCCCTGCACCTCTGAGGCTGTTGCAAGTTTCGATCGACGGGACGTGTAAGGCGAAATGCCTGGCCCGTCCTACCGACACGTCTGGGGGTGCGACAAGGAGGAGCTCCTAGTTGCTCACAAGAACGAGGGGCAAGGGCCCCCTCCCCCTCAGGACGTGCCAGTCTGCATCGCCACGTGGCCCAGGAGGCGCAGCGAGCTCAAGAAGCCCACCAAGGGCCTCTCGCGCTTCTGAGCCGGCCGCCGTCCCGCAGCCGAGGGGCGCCCGCTGGGCGCGCCGCGCACCCCAGGCCGGGGCCTCTTTTTTCGGCCGCCGTCGGCGCCCCCCTGCGCCCGAAAAGGTGAGAACACGAAGCTCTTCCAAACACCCAAAGACACACGTACAGACAATGATTTGGGCCTGTCGGGGCCCTCTTGGGGGTGCTCTTCGGGCTCTCTCGGGGCGTATTTGGGGCCCCTTTGCGCCGTTTTTGGGCCATTTTGGGCGTCTTGGAGCGATTCTTGGGCGACTCGGGGCCCTCTTGGACGCTCGTGAGCGCTCCCGGGGGTGTTGCGCGCCCACGCTCGCGTCAGATCTTGGACCAGGTCCCGCCATTTTTCTGACGGACCCGTCGGGCAAACCCGAGCCCCCCAATCTTAAGCATCGTGCGCCTGGCGTCTCCCCCACTTGATCCTTCTGCCAGCCCGCGATGCGGCAGGAGGGTTTGCAGCGACCATCGCCTGCAAGGCTGGCCCGCGGAGGCCCGACCGGAGCGCCACCGCCGCTGCGGCGGCGCCCCCCCCGCACGTTCAGGAGCAGGCGGCCGGCCCGTGCCTGCCCCCCGCCCCTGGTCCTCCGCAGCGGCCAGTGGTGCGACACAAGGGGCGGAGCAGGGCAGTGTTGTGCAGGGCACGGGGGGGCTGCCCGGAGTGAGACGTGGCCGTCGCTGGCAGGCCCCCGAGGGCGCAGCCCCGCGCTCCTGGGCAGGCCGGGGCACCCTGGGCCCCGGTCGGAGAGGAGTGGACGATTCTGGTGGTCGATGCCTCCCTTCTCCTCCTCCTCCTCCTCCTCCTCCTCCTCCTCCTGCTCCTCCTCCTCCTTCTCCCCCCACCACCCCCTGAGCCAGTCTTCCCCTGTCGGCGCCTCTGAGTGCCAGGATGGGCCCGAGGGGACTCGATCGGAGCTGCTACTGTTCCAGTCGCAGCGCAAGCAGCGAGCAGCGGAAGCAGCGCCAACCTCCCATCCTAGTCTTCCGCAGCAGCCTACGACGAAGAGCTTTTGCTTTGCGTGTCGCGCCGCTCCAACACACTTCGGCTCGACACGATGAATCTCTGCTTCCCGACTGCTTCCAAGGCTCCAGTGCGATGCGCTCCCTGCTGCGAATGCGACCTGCAGGAGCGGCGTGCCGCAGGCTGCGGCAGGCGCAGCAAAAGCTCCGGATTGCACGATACGGCACGATGGGCGCAGCGATCAATGTGCGCAAGGAGGGGCCCGAGCACCGAGGAAACGCAAACGTTGATCACGCCGCGTGGATCAGCGACAAGCCCCGCTTCCGAACAAGATCGGCGCGCGGTCCGTCGCCAGATCAGGCGGCACCAGCACCATGTTTCGTGGGTGGGAGTCCGTTCCCGATTCTGGCGCCCACGCGCTGGATCCACGGATCCGTGATCCATGTTGCAGCAGGCGCGCTAAATAATAAGACAGCGGCCTGCCAGCAGGTACCCCGCGGAAGTTTCTTGTCCCATGATTGCCCTGTGGCCCACTGAAGCTCTGGGGCACCTTCTGGGACCCTCAGAGCTCGACGAAGAATGCGCCTCGAGTGTTGATGTAGCAAGATTTCTTTCAGTGCGTGTCTATTGTGGCGTGCGCCCGAGAGGATGCCCGGTCGGTGTGCCCGCCGAGACGCGGCGGCAGCCCCTCCCCCCCGCCCGCGCGCGCAGGAGCAGGCGGCCAACGCCCACGGGCTCAAGGAGGCCGGGTGGCTCTCTGCCCGCGTGCTCACCGCTTCCTCCACGCGCGCGCATGCCCCCCCCCCCACCTTCAACCCAAGGCTCATTGAGTTCTTCTCTTGTTACGTCCCGCCCTGGCGCCCTCTCGTGAAACACCTGGCCAAGCACGCAGCCGCGCCTCCCTCTGGCGCTCCGAGCCCTCGCGCGCACATCGGGCGAGGGGCCTCTGGCCGCTCCAGAAAGGGCCTAAGGTTGTGGAAGTCGATTAATAGACGGGACGCATGCTGCCACATTATATCCAGATGTCTAAAACATGTTTCAAACATGCTTTAACAATGTAAAACATGTTTGAAACGTTTTTATAGCATGTTTTACAACTTTTAAACACATCTTTGACTCAATGGTAGGATTGTTAGAGTGTCCATCGTCGTGGCATCCACAAGCTTAAGGCCGCTTCTGGAAGCGATGTCGGCTCCTTCGATCCTCTAAGGCAAGCCACCTGCCTTCGAGGACCGAAGGAGCCGACGGCGCTGCCTCCCTCGGCGCAGGGCGGCGGAGGCAGACGGCCTGCAGGCGGCAGAGGAGCAGAGCCCCGGGCATGGCTCCTGCCAGCGGAAAGCCGGCGGAAGCAGGAGTCGGGCATCGGAAAGGTGTGACTCATCCGAGGAGGTCATGCCCTCCTCCCCAGGCTCTCGGCTGGCAATGCAACTCGTCCTTCCCCCCCTCGTCCTTCCCATCAGCACCATCATCAACATCACCATCATCATCATCATCATCATCATCATCATCATCATCATCATCATCATCATCATCATTATCATCATCACCATCCTCATCGTCATCATCATCGTCATCACCATCATCATCACCATCATCATCGTCATCATCATCAGCATTATCATCGTCATCGTCATCATCATCATCATCATCATCGTCATCATCATCAGCATTAGCATCACCATCATCAACATCATCGTCATCGTCGTCGTCATCATCATCAGCATCATCATCATCATCACCAACATTGTCATCAAGATCACCATCACCATCATCACCATCATCACCATCATCATCATCATTACCATCATCCGTAGCCATTTTGGCTCACGCCAGTGTGCTAGCGGCCCTCGGCGGCTGGCGCGGTTGGGATGGCGCGGGCGGCGGCCCCCTCGCGGGAGGACGCTGGTGGCGGCGCGCTGGGCCCGAGTGTGGCGCGGCGGCAGCGCAGGCGTGCAAGGAAGGCTTGGGCACGCTGGTCGGGGGACGTGCCCGTCCACGACCTGCAGAGGGCGGTCAAGTTCTGGAGAGGCAGATACGAGAAGCTGGCGGCGGCGCTTGGTGGCCCCTCCATTGCGGACCGCCTCGCGGTGGTGGCGGGGCACGTGCACGACCTGGTCCACGACAGGGTCGCGTCGCCCGTCGGCACGTTGCGGAGGAACGTGGCGCTCCACTCTGCCGTGGTGCCGTGGCCGCTGGAGACGGCCCCTGCTGCGGCGCTGCGCCGCGCCCAAACGGGCGCGCGCCTGGCGGCACGCGACGACCTGCCGGTCGCGCCTAGCAGCGGGCTGGACGTGGAGCGCCACGGGGAGATCGACGGGAGATCGACCTGGCGCAAGACCTGAGGCTGCACGTTGAGGACGAGTTCAGCGTGCAGGGCGCCGAGGTCGAAAACGGCATGGTCCGCGGGAGCATCGGCTAGGTGTGTGCGCACTGCGACTCGCGGGGCCCCGAGGTGGTGTTGGAGGCCAAGGGCCACCGCGAGGCGGAGGCGAGCGCAGACTTCCCCTCCATGCCAGCGGTGCCCCAGTTCCCCTCGCTCGGCGCCGAGGCCCAGGCTGGGGTTCGGGTCGCTTTCGAGGGCGGCGGTTACGTGGAGCACAACGGCGAGCACGACGGAGCGCAGGACGTGGGGCAGCACGACGAGGACGAGTTCAGCGTCGATGCCACGGTCGCGCCCGACCCTGAGAGCGACGGCGACGTGCTGCCCCTTTGGGCAAGGTCAACTTCGACCTCTGGGCGCGCTTGGAGGCAGCGGTCGAGGAGCGGCCAGCGGGCCCCCAGATCGCCGCTTGGAGGTGGCGGTCGCCAAGTACATCCGCGTGGGGGACCTCTGGATGGCGACCCTCGACACGTTGAGGTCGGCGAGCGATCACTCGATGATGGACGCCGAGATGGAGCTCAGCGAGGTTGAGGCCGCACCCTGGGAGGCTGAGATGCAGACGAACCTGCTTCGGAACCGCGGCGAGTGGAATGAGGCAGGAGCCGTGCGGGCTTGAGCGCACGCCCGTTTATGCCCCTTGCCTTCGTACTGTAAGGTGTGCGTGTCGTAATGCGTGGATGTGCCCTGTCCTCGCCGGCGCAGCGCGCCCCCGGCCGCGTGGGAAGGGCGCCTTTCCTGTGTTGCCTGGCGAAGTCTGAGTGCCTGGCGACGCATGTGCCACAGGAGATGCCTGTCAGAAGGGCCTGCCGCTAGCGCGCGTGGGAGAATGGCGCGGGCATCGGTGGCGCGGCAGTCGGCGGTGAGATGCGGCGGGCGTGAACGTTTCGGCTCCGCCCCCCCCTTGGAAAGCGGGAGCATCATCACCGTCATCACCATCCTTATCATCATCGTTATTAGCATCACCACCATCATCATCATCATCATCATCATCATCACCATCGTCATCATGAACCTCATCACCAAAACCAACATCAGCAACACCATCACCATCATCACCATCATCAGCAACTTCAACCTCACCATCACCACCACCACCACCATCATCATCATCATCAGCATCACTATCATCATCATCCTCCGCCTCACCACCATCACTACCACTACCATCTGTACCGCCTTTTTCATCATCGCCATCATCCTCAGCGTCATCATCCGTAGCCATGTTGGTTCAAACCAAGTGGGGTCACGCCAAGATGGCGAAGCATCCGCTGCCCCAGCGGGGTGCGCCCCTTTCCAGCGAGGCACGGCACGGGTGCTTCGCCCTATCTTCCCGGGCAATTGATGTTCAAGTCCTGGTCAACCCCGGGCAACTCCACGCCCATGTCTTGGCCCGCCCCAAGCGCGCGCATATCCAAGTCCTGGTCCGCCCCGGGCGCAGTTGCATTGAACTCCTGGCCTGCCCTGCGCAGCTCGTGCCAGCGCTCGCGCGCGCTGCCCCTTCGTCCTTTTGCGCTATGTTCTGGCCGCTCTCGCGTCGGACTCCCCCGACAAGGCCATCGTCGTTGGCCCGTGGCGTGCAGTTGAGCAAACGCCATGCCATCTTGTAGCTCGAGCTCGAACTTGCCATCGCGAGGATCGCGCAGCGG